TCTGAACAAAAACACAGGACAGACTAGCAATTATAAGAAGCAAACTTTAATATATCATTTAGGGAAATTTTTCTAAATAGCTACATCCTCTGTGATTTCTTTGTTTTTGACAAATTAATGGATCTAGACTCTAATAGAGGAAGTAGCTCTGTCAATTTCAAATTAGTACTAAGAATTGTTGAGAAATTGGGGAGAGGTAATATTTCAGCCCCATTAGTCACTGATATTATTTATGATTCACCTCATTGTCAGTGATTCTCACTTGGCCACTACTGAAGATCATTGCTTAATTATTCCTTGATTCTTGCTACTGAAGAGCAGTTATTTTTACCAATAGTGAGCAGGACTAGTAGAGGGAATGGAGTGGATCTATACTAGGTAGACCTGACCCCTTAGAGGGATAAGGGGCTACTGTAAATAAGCCCCAGAGAAGGAAATGGGGGAGGAAAGCCAGGGAAAGCCTGCGCAAGTGGATTGGTCACCTATACTCAGTAGACCATTATTGCTTGACCCAGTCACCCAGGAATATTCCCAGTGTTACTCTTACATATTTCTATGTCTCACAAGAAATAACCCAAACTAACTTTAAGATATGTTATGATTGTGAAAAGCATGAGCCATCTTTTCCTTGTTCTTATTGATTGGAAGTTAAAAAAATATGGTACTTGGAATATCTTTATGCATTTATCTCTGCAAAAACTATGACTCCTCAATAATACATAAGAAGAATATGGAGGGATCTCATGGGAGAGGAGAGTATAGCTAATTTTGGAAGGATTTTATGCTGCAGAGCTATCAATTTTGATCGAAAAGTGAATTACTCCTGAGATTAATTTAGAAGACTCCTCCTAGTCAGTGTTTGTATGGTTCTATAATCATGTAGAGATCTTTTAAGAGAAAAGAGATCTCATTTTGTAATATTTGAAAGAACCTAATACACCTGTGTGATAACAAAATTAAATACCAACTCATGTAATTTGAAAATCATGATTCCTGTGGAAAAAAAACATAGATTTAAGTGACAAAAATAAGTTCTGAATAAGTAGGATTATAACACAATATTTCTTAGTTTCTACTGTCATTCTTTTTACAGGATCTAGTTGCAGGTTCTTCGCCCTAAATAATAAGAGAAGGGCTCTCTTGACCTTCAGTTTCTCTGCTAGTAATTTCTGATTATTCTCTCCATCAAAGCTTGCTGTCACCCGAGCCCTGAGCTGAGACTGTCAAATCTCTATGTATAGGATTTAGAACAGATGGTAACCATAGAGGTTACCCAATCTATTCTGTGTTCAAACAAGTGCAGATCTTCATGGTGTAGTATCAGTTGGATATTTAGAGTTAATATCGGCTCTGGTCACTTTCATTCACTCTCATATTTAACTAAGGTGAGATTTGGCTTCATTTATTAACTCATTTTATAAAACATTGCAAACAGACCTTCAATGTTTGCTTAGGTTGCCAAGTGCAAAGGTGTATGGCTTCATGAGAATCCTATGCAGTGAAAAATGCCTGTGCACAGGGCTTTTAAGAATGGACTTCTCACCAATGTGGATATTCAGTATACCTAACACTCTCAGCCTGATTTTATTTTATTTTATTGAGGCAAATATATGGATCACATAGATAATAGGTTGATTTTAAATATATAATAATATCTTAATATATCATGGCCACTCTACTGAATATTGAACAATTAACCTGGGAAAATGTTGATGTTTTTTGAAAATTATATCTAAGAATTCAGGGTGTGGGCATAATCTGTAATTGAAATGTAAGGCGCTTTAAGAAATGCAGGGCTACCCTGTGTGCATTGCTGATGGGAATGTAAAATAATACAGCTGCTATAGAAAATGGTTTGGCAGTTCCCCCCAAAATTAAACAAAATTATCATATGATCTGGCAATTCCTTTCCAAAATATATACTCAAAAGCATTGAAAGCAGAGGCTCGAATAGATACTTGTACACCCATTTTCATAGCAAAATTATTTACAATAGCCAAAAGGTAGAAACAACCCAAATGTACATCAACATGAAGAAAGCGTTGTCTATACCCACAATTAAATGTTATTTAGCCTTAAAAAGGAATGAAATTTTGATACATCTTACAACATGGATGAGCCTTAAAAACGTTATGCCAAGTAAAATAAGCCAGACATAAAAGGACAAATATTGTACGATAACACTTGTATGAAGTACCTAGAATAGGCAAATTTATAGAGACAAAAAGTTAGCAAGTGCTGGGAGAAAGCAAATGAGGAGTTATTGTTTAATGGGTGCAGTGTCTGGGATGATGAAAAGTTGCTGGAAATGGAGAGTGGTGATGGTTGCACAACACTGTGAATGTACTTAGTGCTACCAAATTGTGCGCTTAAAAATGGTTAAAATGGCAAATTTTATGTGATATATATTTTACCACAAAAAAAATCTCTGAAGGGAAAAAAATGTACACAGGGGTTATGGTTACTAATATTATAATAATAACTGTATAGCATCAAGGGGGTACTAGACTTATCGAGGGGATCACTTTATAAGTTATATAAATGTCTAACCACTATGTCGTACACCTGAAACTAATATAATATTGACTATAAACTGTAATCAAAGGAAAAAGAAATGCAGAGTTTGTATCTATTTTTAAGAAAAGGTCTTGCACCCATTTTCAAATCTTATGTTTGACTCTGTTTTTCTACCTATTTCATGGTTGCTTCAGTCCCCACAGAGAACTTCTTAGTGTGGGCTCAGTGTGCTTGAAGTTGCCCTGGTGGATGTGGTTAGGTCAGAATCCACTGGTTTTGCTGTAAGTAGGCTTGCTTCTTACATTTGTTAAAAATTTTGAGGGTGAGTGGGTGAGGGAGAGATTTTAAAATGGGAAAACAATGCATGTTGGACTTCCCATTCCAACACAGAAAGTGTGCTTTTGTGGCAAACCGAAAGACTAGGAATCAAGGGTGATGAAATACAGGCCTTCTGGCCCTCACTCTGTTCCTGATTTCTGGTTGTGGGAATCTGTTCTGAATCCAACTGCAAGTGGAAAACCCATCTTTGGCTGAGCAGCCAGGGAGGCCATCCTGCCAATCCCCCAAATGTGCTGCTGAATCTTTGGCCCTGTAGGGGCGAAGCTGAGGCTGTCTTCTCGAGATCGGTGCAGCTGTCAAGGTGGCTGTGATGGGACTGTGACCGGCCTCTGCACTCCATTTTGACAGTGACCTTGAGACCTGCCAGCTCACAGCAGTTGTACTGGTTCTTACTCTACTGTTGCTGTTGCATGGTCAGGGGGCTAAAGGGAGGGAGCCAGACTCCTCTGGCTCTGCCATTTCTAGGGTCTGGCAAGTTCCAACTGTGGTGCCCACCTCTCCCAGCGCCTACCACCCACTGGATGTAGGGGCAGTCCAGGTGTGTCAATGTGGGTGGTGGCTTGTTCTTTCTCTGGCTCAGGTCCCAATCCCTGGGAAGTGGGTAGCCCTGTCTAACCAACAGCCGAGGGTACAGACAGGCTCCACGTGGGAAGCTGCTTGGCAGCTCTGTTGAGAGATGCTCAGTGACAGTTGATGATCTTGGGTGACAGAGGAGCCAAAGATGCTCCTTTGTCCCAAAGGTATGAGTCTGCCTTCTGGGAGGGATTTCTTTAGCAATTGAAGGTCACCGGAAATGTACAGAGCAAGAGAGAAATCTTTTTCTCTCCAGCCACACAGAGTGGCAAGTGTATTTTGAAAACTCCTCCCCCCACTTGTCCTCATCCTGTCCTTTTCCTTTTAAGTGGCTTTATTATTTTTTTTTTAATCCGCCTTTGTAATTGGACATTTATTGACAGAAATCAAATTGCTGTGTTTCTGGGCAAAGAGCCTGCAGCAAAGAGGTGTGGTTCCCGAGGAATGAGACATGCAGCCCAACAGCTGAGCCTACACTGTCCTCACATAACCTCCCTGCCTTAAATATCGCCAATATTTAGCCTTGCCTTATAAAGTAAAAATGCACAATACCTTCCAGAGTTTCAGCAAGCCCAAATGCCCCCCTCGGCTCAGTTATATCTCCTGTATGTTGGAGGCTGGGCGGCGCACGCCTCCCCCCGCCGAGACCTGTCCTCGGAGCCACCAAGAGGTTACTAATCAGGGAGACTCCGCCATCGATCTGATGGTGGAGACCTGGGGGATTTGTGTGCATTGTTTTTGCTGAAGCCTCCTGTGAATTCGGCGCGACCAGATCCTCTGCAGCGAACTCCATGTCGCAGCTTGTGGCTGCCTGTGTCCTGTGGTGAGAGCGGAGCCACACAGGAGATCCTTTGTCTAGGAAGGCTAGGCAAAGAAGATCACTTTGGAGTTGCTAAGCTCTGCATTGCCATTGGCTGCACTCTTCGTGGGGCTGTTTTTGCAAAAGGCATGCCCAGCACGTCTACAGTGCTGGCAGGCCAGGGCTGCCTTTAAACACCATGATAATAATACCAAAAAGCAGTTTGCAGAACTGTTCCACTGTAGAGGCTTCCTCTGCAGAAGCAAGCAAGATGGCTACCTCGTGGGCTTCGCTGTGAAGAATGCAGAGGCTAATTAAGACAGACTTTAAGGGGAAAAAAGGGTATTTCCCTACTTCATCTTCATGCAAGGCTTTTTTTTTTTTTCAGTGACTTTTAAAGTATACATTTTACATAAGCTCTTTAGGTTCTGCCTAGCAAACATGTTGATGATTTTAAATGGTATAAGTAGTTTTATACAGAAATAGCCAAAAATTTTTGGGGGGTGGGAGCTAATTTTTTTCTTAAACGGAGGCTTATTTTGCAATTTCCCTACTTCATCTTCATGCAAGGCTTTTTTTTTTTTTCAGTGACTTTTAAAGTATACATTTTACATAAGCTCTTTAGGTTCTGCCTAGCAAACATGTTGATGATTTTAAATGGTATAAGTAGTTTTATACAGAAATAGCCAAAAATTTTTGGGGGGTGGGAGCTAATTTTTTTCTTAAACGGAGGCTTATTTTGAATTTGATTTTTTTTTTTTTTTTTTTTTAGGTTATAAAGGAAAACAAGAGGCCCCAGAGGGAAAAGAAGCCCAAAGTTTTAAAGGTAATCAGCTATTGATTAAATCATATTTGATTTTTTTCCATTTCATATAGTATTTTTCTGTCACTTATGGGTAAATTTGGAGTACAGTGGATGTGAATTCTCCCAGGTTTTCAATAGATAAATGAATTTTCACTCAACTGAAGTGTTTTTTTTTTGATGTGCTGCATAATATGCACATTAGCATCCTTTATTTTCAACTCCACACAAGTCTGCAGAAAGAAAAGTTTATATGCAAAGTGTTGTGAATAAAATATATTTTTCTTTGTAGCTCCCTTTGTAGCATCTGTATTTTTGTGTAAACTTAAGCTCTTAAGGAGAGACACTGTTTGAAGTTGACAGCTATGATCCATTGTGATTTTAATAGACCTTCCATTAGATACAATTTTAAAAAACGTGATTTTTCTTTCCAAAGGAAAAGGTCCTTAGAGGTTTTAGTTCAACTTAAAATGTGTAAGCCATTGAGATCTTATAGCCAAATTATAATTGCTTAAACCCAAATTTTGGCATTCATAGAGCTATAAGAATATGCATGTTTTCTTTATTTTTAATAGTTTACCTAATGAGTATTCAGTAGTAACCTAATTCAGTTATAAGCTAGCAATCTGTGTTATGAGCTTTGTACAGTATTTAAAAGGGTTAATTTAAAAGCATATGGCATTACTAAAAGTTCGAGGCTAGGTTTAGTCTAGCAAATAGGTGCTCATTGTTAAAGGTTTCAAGTGGTATATTACTATTATAAATGGAAGCAACCTGAGCAAGCAACCTTTTTAATTCAAGAAGACATATTAGGCAATAAAACTACTGGTCTTTAAAATTATATTGCGCGCATATAATTTAAAATATTTTAACTTAATCATAGCTTTTCTTTCAAAAATAAAGTTTTAGCAAAGAGGAAGAACATGTTGAACTATGGATGTGGCAAATTTTTATCTCATTTATTTCCCCAGTGTGTACCTTAAAAATGTTGTTGACATGGAGAACCAAACCTTGCATTGCTTTCTAATTTGTCTGACCACCTCAAGTTTTTGTATCCTGTGTCTACACAGCATTGCCATGTACATTTTTCATCAACCAACAAGTATTTTAATATTTACCACACAGTCATCAATGTGTTAGGCACTGTGAAATGAATGAAATTGCTTGGCGCAAAGTCTCACTTGGCCTGAACAAATAGAATACTGGTTATTTTCAAGGTAAATTAAATCCTCTTCTGTTGTTGTTTTTTTTCTTGTATATTGTTCCTGCTCTTTTACTCCCCTCCCCAACTATAGAAGTATATCATTAAAAATCTTCAAGGGAGAAATAGTTTTAGTCTTTCTGTATAATGGGGGCATAGGAAAAAGGGGTAGATTGCATGGACAAACTAATATATAATATAGACTAAGCTTTTTAGCTAAATCATCATTTGCCTTTGCTGGGAAGTAGAACTGGGCTTTGGGAGTACTATTTAATTCTGTGTTTATTTCATTAGTCTGTGTATGTCCTGTCACCTGTTATAAATTTCAGAAGTAAATATACTATGTGTTGCATTTTTGAATCATGGCAATGGATCTGACTTTTTTAAAAAAAATAAATGCCTGTGGTGGTTGAATTTCATGTGCCACAGCAAGCAGAACTGAATTATTGCTCACTTTCCTTTATAGCTAGCAATTGTTGTACAAGAATAGGGAAATGCTCTAAAAGGATAAAAATAATTTCTTTCTGATGTTGGCATTTTTAAATGTTTTCTTCAATATTCTATTGGGCATAATATTTTTTGTTGTTCTCCAAAGAAAGCTTTGTTTCTCTGCTCCATCGTAGAAATGCAAAAATACTTTGAGATTTAGTTTGATGTGTATAAAATGCAGTTGGAACAAATGTAGAATACTATATAACCCTAAAGGAGATGTTAAAAGAACTAAATCCACATTTTGGGGTTCATTTAGTTTAAAGTTTTATGAATGAAAACTCAAAATCCACTGGCTGCTACCCAGGAAATCAGTGATGGGAACCTGCAGGTTACAACTTGGTCTCCTTTTCTAATTCTCTTTGCCTTTGGCATTGTGCCAGAGAACTTTCTTTGACTCTGACCTCTTAGATCTTCAAATCTCCTGGGCCTCCTGCTCTTTGTCAGGGTAGATGCTATAGGTATCCTGACTAACTTTCATCTTCATCATCTATTAGGAAGTAGTTGGATAACTAGAGATTAAATAAATAAATAAATAAATAAGTAAATAAGATGAAATAGAGGTAAAGAGATGAAATTGCCTGATATATCTCACATCTCTCATCTTTAAACAATTTATTATCTGTATTGATAACCTATATTCATTCTAATTCAAAACTTAAAACTATAACTAGTAATCTCAAATCCCTGACTAAGGAGTGCATTTTCCTCTAGCTGAATTGATAGTTTCTGTCAAAAACACTCTAATATCTAGAATGGGAATTGAATTGAGGTGGGGGTCAGCACAAACTCCTGCCCCCACTAGTGCTAGAGGATCAGGTTGCTGCTCAAGCTCTATTAATGATCACTAGAGTTACTTTCATATATAGACAACAGCTTGTTAGCTGTGCTATAATTGTTTCGTTGACTCTTGAGTAAGGTAAAGGTGTGAAATAATTTCAAGCCTTGATTCTTGAAATTGGACTTGTGAGTGGCATGGTTTGGAACCCTTCTTGGTAGAAATATTTATGTAAATAATCTTCACTTTATGTGTTGGGGTAGGAGAATATGATATATTCCCTTGGAGAAAGTCAATCTTAGGATAATATCACTTTGGTTATGCTGTCAGTCATTGTTCCTGAAGAAAATCATATTGCACAGTCAATTGGGAGTGTTGAGGGAAATCGAATAAAAGAATTGTTAGAAAGGTGTAGGCAGGGTTATGGGAAAATATAGAGATGGCAGAACATCCCAGAGCTAATAACAGCAGAGGGCCATTGCCACTCGTAGGCCTGAAGGGGCAAGGGAGTTGGGAGCAGGAACCCAGGTAGAATAGTTTTAGCTTAATGTAAGGATCAGGGGCTTTTGCTGTGGCACTTTGGTAAAGGTATCTTTGTGCAAAGAAAAAGTCATGGAGAGAGCCATATGGAAATAAATACCCTGCCCTCCAGTTTCCTGCTAATTTCATTGGTTGATCCCAATCAGAAATGAAAAGGAAAGGGAGCCCACTGATGAAATATAACCTGGTCAGCCTCCTGCAGCATGTAAGAGGGTGTGGAAGATGGAGTGTGACCTGGAGGGGCAAATAGAACATATTCAGCATCACTAGTGACTGTGGGGACAGTATGTATGGCGGGGTCAAAAATAGTACTAGAACCACGATTGTGTAAAGAAGTAACATTAGGCAAGGCTGAGTATGTCAGAACTTCATACTATCTTGCAGTTGCAACTTATCTGCAAATCTAAAATCATTTCAAAATAAAAGGTGTGGGTATCCGTAAGAGGGGACCCCATTTATACATTCTGTAATTAGATACTTTTTTCTAGGCTGGTAAGGTACATTTTTCTAGCTGTTTGGTTATAAGTTATCACAGTAGTATATGAAAGACTGGATGAACAAATATAAAGAAATGTCAGTGAGTATTAAACCAGGAAACAGTTTACAGATGATTTAGAAAAGAAAAATGAAAACAAAGTGATCTTCCTGCTAGCTTCTGCACTGGCAGCCCTGCTCTTCACGGTTTCCTTCCTTCCTTGATGATGCTGATAAAAGTAGTGCTGGTGATGAGGGGGGGCGGCGTGCACATATGAGATATATATATCTCACTAAAAGAGGACAGGCACTTAAAAGACATACTTATGTCTTTTTGAAATGTTTTAAAAGAATCAAATCGAACATAAATCACATTCATACATAGTGATTTACATGACATAGTGACATTCAGAATATTTAAAACTACCATCTTTGCCTGGCACATAGTAAATGCTCAATAAATGTTCTTTCCTGAACAACATTATTATTAACATTCATTAAATATATTTTTAGCATATACTAAATGCTGGGGCTACAATGATTTCAGCCTGTAAGGAGACTAAATGTTGATGAGGGATGGCTGGCAAAAAAATTAAAGACAAATGAATAAATTACAAATTGTGGTATATATATTTTTTGAAGGAAACAAAAAAAAGTGCAGAAATAGAGAAAACACCTAGGGAAATTTACTTGATATCTTTGAGAACCATTCTCTTTATAAATATAGTATTTACATATATAACATATATGTATGTTATAATATATATATGTGTGTATGTATGTATTGTGTGTGTGTGTATTCTGTAGGTCTCCCAGAGCTGTTTTTGTTTGTGGATAAGCTGTCTAGTTGTTGATTTCTGTGGGAAGAGGTGGAAGCTATGTTCTACATCACCATTTTTTCTGAGGTTTTACATACATATATGTGTGTATGTATGTATGTGTGTGTGTGTGTGTATATATATATATACATATATATATATTTACCCCTCCAGCACCTGGTCTTCCTAGGTGGTCTCCCATACAAGTACTAATCAGGCCCAACCCTGCTTAGCTTCCAAGGTCAGACAAGATAGGGTACATTCAGGGTGGCATGACCTTAGACTCCCTTTATTTATAAATTGTTAGACCTACTAGTGCTGATTTAAAAGTCTCAAGTTAGATACAATTAAGTTACTTTGTTTATTTTTAAAACCCATTAAGCTACAAGAAATGGAAGATAACAGAGGTACTAAAGATTTTACTCTGCGCACTTATCTACAACTTCGCTTCAGTTAGTAAAAGAATTCACTGGTAAAATGATAAACTTTTCTTAAGTCTGGTTATAATGTAACACATGATTTATAGCAACAGATTGCAAGTTTAAGTGATGGGTCAAATATTGAGCTTGACCATTCTTCCGGAAATGAAACATGCCATTTTGATAGAATTCTTCATAGTCCTAGGCAATGAACTCCAGACTTCTGAATATAATGGATCAGTGGGGGGAAATTCAGAGTGGGTGATGAGAGTATAAAGGAATACCAGCTTAAAAAAAAAAAAAAT